TGAATACAGGCCTTCAATCTGCGCGGCCAGTCGTCTATCGCAGCACGAACGAGGTCCATGTCAATATCGGCGGCTGCCTTAATCAAGGATGTCTTGAGTGACTCCAAATTGGGATGAGGCTTTGAGCACGCCTTTTCCTCCAAGTGTTGCCATATCTTGTAATCTAACGGATTCAAATCTGGACTGGAGGAGGGCCAGTCTTCGTGCCGGATGATGTCGATTTCACGCGCCGCCAGCCAGTCTTGTGTGCTCTTCGCTCTATGAGCTGGCGCCGAATCTTATTGGTATACCCAGTGCCTGTTATTGAACATGGTATGAGAAACAGGTTCCACAAGGTTCGTCAGGACTGTATTTTGATACACAACTGCATTCGTTTTTACACCTTTCTCACAAAAATGTACCTCTGTTAAGCCCCAATAAGAAACTCCCAACCATACCATGAGTGAGGATGGAAAATGACCTCGTTGGACACGCGAAATACGGTTGCTCGCTTCTTCATTACTGTGTGCGTACACCTTATCATTTTGTTTGTTGTAGCTCTCTTCTACGGTAAAAATTTTTTCATCCGAAAAAAGAATTTCCCGATATTTTTTTCCCGCGTACCGCTTCAACAAAACGCGGCATCACTTCAGTCTCAAGTCCATTAGACGAGCATTCAAACGATGTCCTGTTTTTCTTCGATATACCCGAAGCCCTAAGTCTTCATTTAACACCCTTTTCACCGTGGTTCTGCTTAACCCATCTGAAGGGCCAACAGTTTCTGCTTACGTTTGGGATTTCTTTGAATTCGCGCCTTCACAGCTTTTATCGCTGCTGGAATCCTAAAAGACCGAGGGCGACCACTTCATGACCTGTCATCTACACTAGAGTCTTCATTGTATCGTTTGATGGTACGAAAAACGAATATTTTGGTTATATTCAAATTTTTCAGTATGTTAAAAATTTGAATTGGCGCGTAACCGCAACGATGCAAAGCAATAACTGCAACACGGTCTTCTTTAAGCGTCCACTCCATATTTAAAAATGAGTAAAATTCTAAAAGTATACATTTTTATTTTCATGAACAATTCGAAATTCGAATTCAATAAACTTTTTTGTGGCCAGCATTCTAAAAGAATTTTTTTTACTGTGTGACAATACTTATGACCTGACTAGTTATATGTAAATAGATATATGTATATAGGTTCATTTAAAAATATGTTTGTAATTATATATAGGTAGATTACAAACACGTGCGCGACCGGAAGCGGCTTGCAAATAACTTCTGTGATCAATCGACCCATCTGATGCTAAGTATTCACTCACAGTGGGCTGTGTGTTTATGGGTAGAATAGCCTGTGAATACTGTGGCTCAGTTTGAGGCCATGGACCTGTTCGGTTGCTACGCGCGCTTCTTTATTCTCACGGAGAAATTTGTGGAGATAGCGTATTTATTTAAATTTTTGTAAGTACTGTCACTAAAGTTGAAATTTCTACAAAAATAAATCCACCGCAACCATATTTACTCTAAGTCCTACGGTACACGAACAAATCACAAGAATTAAGCCAGCTTAATCGTCCTACGCGAGGGAAAGTCTTCGTCGCGGTCATCCCTGTCACGGCACGGCTACTGCTCGGTAACCGTACTCGTCGAACTCGACAAAGAGTTCGCCGTGCAACCTAACCCATGAATCAGCTCGCTGAGTTTCTCGCCGGATCTTCTCAGCGGGTCGCGATTCCGATCCGGTAGTAGATTCATTCGCGAAGCAGCTACTCTTGAGCTGTTAGGTCTTCTTCGGAGGCGCTCGGGTAGCTGTTAGCAAATCCCAGCCCTCCTGGCTGAGCCTTTGCTCGCCCACCTGTCCTGATGAAACTGGAAAGGCCTCTGGGCCACCAGTAATCCTTCAATCATAAAAAAAACGGCTACTGCTGCAGAAGCTGATTGGGTCACAGACAAGGATTCCCTCTCGTTAATAGTAAACAGACTATTGTACGGCAGATTTTAGATGAGATCATTCTCCGCCTCAACCACACAACACGCGTAAGTGTGCAGTTTCTTTGATTGCACTGTCGTAAGTACATACTTACATGCACACTATTGATGCAATGTGAATACGTCAACAACTATTGGCAAAGCACGCAGAAACCTCCAAACCGCTGAGTGTGGATACAATGTCGCAACAGTGCGATGTTGTTACGTATGGCGGGCTACTAATGCAAGCGCCTGCATTTTTTACCCTGTGACAAAGCAACTCTGCAAAATTCTTGAAAATTGCAAGAAAATTGATACAGCGAGTACACGTGGTGCGTCGAGCTGTGGCCGCGCGCCCCGCGCTGGTGCCGGCGGCGCTGGTGCACGCGGATATAACGTTATATCCATGTCAGCATCCATCTTAATTAGATCACCTAACAATTATTCTAGTTTTCGAGGTTCGTTTGTAATTACAATGAAAAGTGGACTAGTTTAAGTTCTCGGTGAATGAATGAACAAGTCTACGTCATTTATTTAAAAAATTGACATCACGATGATTGTTATGA